ATTTACAAATAAGGAATCCTACTTCGCGGAATTTCATTTATCATGGTAGGGTCTAGAACCGATTAACCGCGATAAACGAGGGTTCACTGTACTATGAAGTAGCACTATGCAGTATAAATATAACATGAATTATGAGCTACATATTTAAACATTTTCTAATGTACACATTTCAACAAGGTAAGAAATGAACTCATACCACACTATTATAGAATTAATTCTAGTGCCCCTGTAGGACACAGAACTGTCCCATGTTTCCAATCCTATAATGTTTATAGAAGCAAGCTATCTCATAACTAAAATACAATTTTTATAAGTAATATAAATATTACTAATAAACATATTTTTATACTGACTTCAAAGTTCCAGTGTGTATTTTAATGGGCTAGCCACATTTCAAGATTAAGGTTTTGTTCCACACTAATTCATTCACTGCATTAAAAGTATCACTGCATTAAAAGTAGAGTGATACTTTTAAAGCATATATTTAATTACGTGTTTGAAAAGCTATGTCTAAGAAGAAACTTGTATGTAGTAACGGGCATCTCTACAAAGAGGCATTTTATGATTCCAGGGAATACTTGCAGGCAATACCAGCATGGGCCCACTGAACACAAATTTGGCAAGCTGGCAAAGTGTTCCTGTGAAGAATACACCTAGGAAAACTCTGAACCTCTTTTCCCTAACACAAGGGGTCACCACGACTTAGACATGGCACCGCGGCAGTGGGTTTGGTTGTTCTGTTTTGCATTACTTCCTCTTAATGAAAGTGATTTTTTTAGGAAGTTACTTAAATCTTATATGAATTTAATCTTCAATAACTTTGAAAAACAAAATACTTCTTATCACATGGAGAAACATGGAACTTAAAATAATTTTATTCTGTTTTATGGCTTTGTTTTTATTAACCCACGTAAAGCCCTCAGAGCATTGCCTGGTACTCAGTGTCAAGTCAATACTGATGGTAGGTGCCCTCCAGTCAGTTCTGACTCATAGCGACCCTGTGCACAGCAGAACACTACCTGGTTCTGTGGCACCCTCACAATTGTTCTTATGCTTGAGCCATGGTTTCAGACCCTCTGTCAATCCTTCTTCTCCAGGACCTCCCTCTTTCGCACTGCCTCTCTGCTTTACCGAGCATGATGCTCTTCCTCAGTGGCTGGCCTCTCG